CCCGAATGGTGTCCCGAATGGTGTCCCGAATGGTGTCCCGAATGGTGTCCCGAATGGTGTCCCGAATGGTTCTGGTGTTCGTCCACGTTCCACGCCAAGTGACCAGTCGTGCACACCAAACCATTGAACTCCGCAAGACCAGACATTCCTCAGGGCCCGTTGCCAGTGACGGTCGCTTCGGGCCAGAGCTGGGCAAGACGCGCAGCTCTGTCCTCAAGGAATTGAAACTTGAAGGCCACTTTTGCCTTTTATATTATATTTCTATAATGAATTGAGTCTGGCGGAAAAAAGAACTGCATCCAGAATGCAGCTGCCGAGACCCCTGTCCCGAAGTCAATGAACCAGGACATGCATGCATGGAAGTTTTAAACTGGTCGAGGCCAAACTGGACAAGACTGGCCACATATATAAGAGCGAACCTCTCCATGGCTTAGTCCAGTTGATCTCCAGTCTACCACTGGGAGTCACAGAGTCGAGACTTCTGTGGCAACCAAAATCCAGCCCACCCTTACACCCGCAGGGGCTGGTCTTCTTAGCCTTTTCACTTTCGAACCCCTCGAACCCCCATATACCTCAACTGCTTTCCGGGGGGCATCAGAACATTGGTCAATTACTCTTCGGTACTGATCAATCAGTTTGGAAATCATTTGTTCTTCTTATGCTGACGATTATGTTTTATGCTACAGGCTGGATTTTTTGCTTTAATGTGGATTTTGTTAATGCTGATGGACTGATGGTTTTTTTTATGATGGCGGTTCTAATTTTTATGCTGGATGTTGTTTCTCGGACAAGTTTTTAAAGTTGGTGTTTTTGGGTTTTGTGTGTGTTCTTTTTTTGAGAGATTGATCTTTTTCTGCGATTTTTTTTGTGGTGTGGGTGATTTTGTTTTTTTGCGGGAGACCGCTTGCGGACGGTGCCTTTTGTGGCTGGAACTGATTCTTTGTATGCGGACGGTTCTTCTTTTTGTGTTGGCAGTTCTTTTGTATGCTGGCGGTTCTGATTTTATGCGGTTTTCTTTCAATGCGGTGATGTTGTTTTTATATGTGTTTCTTATGCTGATTTTTTGTGCGAGAGGCTGGGAGTGTTCCTCTTTACCCGTGAAACCTCGGGGTTGAGTGGCTTCTTGGTTCCTTTCTGCCCTGAATTGGCACCCCCCCATGCTACGTTGGGATGGTTCCTTCCTCAAGCCAAGGCCCATGGCGTCGCCCCAGCAAAGCTCAAGGCTGGAGACAGATTATATAGCCTGCAAGAGGGCCTAGCGGCCTAGCCAGGATGGTGCACAGCCTGTAACGAATTTGGTGCACCACTGTGAACCTTTGAAGAAAGATGCAATGCCCTTTCAAAGTGGTGCAATGCTTCGGCACTCCTTCTTGCCCAGTCCTGGGCGCGTTTTACTCGCTGGACTCCACTCACCACTTGGGCGCTCAGCCGTGCATCCCTTGAGTCCCAGCCGTGCGACGACGAACTGTTCTCCAACTCCAAGGCGTTTGGTGTTGGCTCCCCTCTTGACCTTCTTCCCGGGTCCGGCCATGCTCCGGCTCCTGGTGCTTCGACTTGTTCTGGCCTCGCGAAAGCGGGCGGAGTTGCGGATTGTGGATGGCATCCTTCCTTTGTAGCTGGCATCGATAGCATTTAACTCGCCATTGGGCGTTCTGAGCCCTCCACGGGCACGGGCACTCGATCTACCCGTGTTGCGAGGTGTGAGCTTGGACCGCGCTCCTCTTTCGGTCCACGCCCATGCAACCCCTTTGTTAGCCTGCTCTGTGCCTCCAGCTGCACGCAGACCTGAAGCTGCACAGCTGTGCTGGACATTGCTGGGTCTAACTGAAAATATTGGAGGTTGAAAGCAAATGTTTGGAAAACGTCCAACCTTTTTCAAACACTGCTGACATCCCAGGCACTAGCAGCCAGCGACGATGCCGGGGCGCTGCTTCTTTGCGGCATGGCCTATTTCAATCCTTGCAATCTTCTTGAGGGGATCACCTCTTGCTCTGTGAGTGTGAGCTTCAACACTGGCTCCATCTTCTTCTTCGCCCAGACTTTTTTCCTTTGCCACTGCCTCCTTGAGGCTCTCGCGCTTCTTCTCTTGATCAGCAAGGAGTGAACATGCCCATTGAAGAGCATGCTCAATCACCGAAAGAGAGGGAACTTGAGATGACGACTTGCGCAACAAGGGTAAGTCTGAGCCCCCCAATTTGGTTGTCGATCAAAATGGCCACCTTTTGACACATATTATGCTACGTTGGAATCTCCCCTCCCCTTGCCGATGGCTCACAAAAGGTATGCTACGTTGGAATTCCTTCCTGGTCTAAACTTTACGCTCGGATGGCTCACAAAATGTATGCTGGCATGGCTCCTTCCTCCTCTAAATGTGTTGCTCATGAAGGAGCCTTTTCAACAGTCGCATACCTATTGTGATCGTGACCCACCTGAGGGTAACATTTAGAGGATAAAGGAACCATGCCAATGTAGCATACCTTTTGTGAGCCATTCCAGCATGCGCTTTGTGAGCCATCTGAAAGGAACATTTCCACAAGGAAAGGTAGCATACCTTGTGTTACCAACCCCAGGGTAAAAGTTAGGAGAGGATACGTAATTCCAGCAAAGCATACCTCGTGTGATTGTGAGCCACCAGGGGAAAACATGTTGAGGAAGAAGGGGCCATGGAAATGTTTGAGGAGACCGGGCGTGGGTCCCTTGAGCCGCCAACCCAGGCGTTCGGTCCCTTTCGTTGCAAAGAAAAGAACACCATGGACGAATCCACCAGCGTCAACTCCTGAAAGGACCTGACTGTGAACTGACCAGGTGATGTCGCTGGTACTGCTGGTGGACCAACGACTGCGGGGGTGACATTCACCTGCACTTCGAGAGCTCCAGCTGTATTTTCGGCCTCGATCTTGTCGTGGAACTTCATCTTCACCAAGGGAATCTCAAATTCCTTGCAGTGGATGACGACCTTATCCATATCAAACCTGGCGACCTCATGGTTCGCTCGGATTGACCGAGAGGCTCGGATGTGAAGTGTAGGACGTAGTCGCACCCTGCCCGACGTGTTGGACTGGGCAGCTACAGCGTCCGGAAAGAGCTCGCCATCACCTGTGTGAATGGCGGGGAGACATCGACTGGAAGTGGTCATGGCAAGGGCACTCCAATGAAGGCAGCTGCCACTTTCTTCGCGCGAAGCCGAGCGACAAGACATGCCTAGGTATAAGTCCCAGACATGCCTAGCCACAAGTGCTCTTGAACGGCTGAGCAGTCAACTGGAATGGGAAAAAGAAAAAGATGAAGACGAGGAGGAGGAGGAGGAAGGAAAAGAAAGCTGAGGAAGGAAGAGAAAGAAAAGGAAGGAAAGGATTTCCCCCACCGCCACCACTGCCGGAGGGTGAAATCCCCTAGCATCAAGAAAAAACATGTTTGCATTTAAAAACGGCTTCGAACGGTTTCGACGCGCCGGTGGCGTCACCCTGTCACCAAAAAGAGCTGAGCGGCCCAGAGGATGGTCAAAAGCACCAGGAGGCCGATGATCACCAAGAAGTTCAGGATATCCGCCCTTGGATCAGCACCTCACAGAAGCGCCACGCGGACGCGCCACACGGACGCGACGGACGGGACGACCCTGACGACACGGAAAAAAGTGACTGGAAGGACCACACGACTCACACGACATGCGTGATCGCGAGGTGTCACATATGTTGGTGGAAGCGCGGCACGGATGGTCCCTCAATTTCTGTTTTAATCCCTTAAGGATTGAATGGACAAGAGGCTCATCTAATCTCATCTACAAAGACCTTGTTCGAAGTTCTATGTTTCACGATTCACACCGCAACTGGTTGGGCTGCCCCACCTCGTTCTCCCAAAAAGGCTTTTTACATGGACATCCCTCATTCGACGCCGGCGACGGTTTAAGTCGGACTCGCGACGGTGAAGTCTGGACGCGAAGTCTGGAGCCTGAATGCCCTGGAGGGGTTGGAGTGGGTCCGGAGTGAGTTGGACTGGGTCTGGAGGTGTTGGACGGGGGTTAAAATCCTCCATACTCCTGATATGGAGGCCCTTCGGAAGTCGGGCCTGTGAACGAAAACGGAGCAACGGGAGCGTCGAGGCGTAGGGAGAACCACCCACTGTTTAGGTCTTCGGATTTCATGTCCGGCCCATGCCTTGAAACGAATCCGAAGAGTTCGAGTGTAAACGGCAAGAGACTCGTTTTCCTCATAGTACCGGTGGAGGGCCCAAAGGCCGTCTCCCGCCTTCCACGAAGGGAAAACCATAGGTCTGCAGGAGGCTCCTCTCATGGGCGGAGACCTCCGGGCGACCCCGATCCGCGGATCACGCAGGAGGCGAGAAGCGTCGAGAAGCGGCGATGCATTACGCTTCCGCGGAGAACAAGAGTTGACCACGCAATTGACTGATCAGTGAATTGAGGAGTAGAGTATCATGGAACAAGAGACACCAAGTTGGGGGGTTGATTTGACACACCTGTGCACTGCTATTGTGGGGTGGTTGATTCGAAGACCCCAAACAAAGGGCTTTCCACGATGCCCGTGCCGCCAGTGCGAACGAACCTCGGTCGGGCTGCTTCGAAGACCGGTTCGGCGTCTCCCGAGACTGTAGCTGTTGGTCTGAGGATTTTGAGGAGAGACCAGCTGGACAAACGACAGCCCTGTCATCTGATCATCCAGGAGACCTTGATATTTCTTGATCTATGCACCGGCCCGGCAGACCTTTACATAGTATAGAGAATGTTCTGAGGAGCTTTGCACAACGAGTTCTCATACATAACACAGTGATGACACAGTAATCAACCACGATTCCGAGTCAATCAACACCCTTGGGGTCTACAACAACTGTGTTTGATTGACTCGGAATTGTGCTTTCCCCACTTCGAAGTGGTCGTGTTCTTCAAGCCCCGGACGTGCCCAGTTCACAGTTCCTTTGTGGGTGGCTGGCCTTCAAACGGACCAAATATAACTGACTAGACGACTCATTATATTCCCTGGCTCCAAATACCTTCTGAGAACGTATTTGGGGTGGGTTTTGAGGGTCCAAATACCTTCTGTGGATGTACCTGGAGCCCTAGGGATTGGCTAATGAACTCAGGAAGAAAGCTAAATAGCCCACGAACTGCTCGATGGGCTTGAGCTTAGCCTTGGTTGAGAATTCCACCCGTTGGCTTGAACAGAATAGAGGGGTCGGTTTCTACCACACGCCAATTGGCTGTATACGTGTGGGATATTGTTGGGCATCCCTCTAGTTGTTTCAACCAACCAAGATCCAAAGGCCATCTGTGATCTATATGTCCTTTGGTACCTGCGCGTACAGCGCGTACAGCAGTGGACGCTGGTTTCTTTAAGATCTGGACATTGTTTGACACAAGTTTGCCAACCACTTTGGCATATGTTCATCTTTGACCAAGTTCAAGACCCAACTGTTTTCTCAGCCGAAAAGTGTGGCTTCTCATCTTCTCACATGGAAAAAAACAAAAACAACAACCATTCCCTCACGGCACGGGCCCTGCCAGCCGCGCCGTTCCCCAGGCCAGTCCTTCGCCCTGAATGGATGTCAAATGTGCACATGAAGGGCGTACAAGGTGTACCATCCCAATGGGGGGGTGATTCATCAATCCAGATTCTGCATATGTGTTGGTATAGGGGGGGGGAGTGTGTCCTATAAGAAGCTCATGAAGCGCCCTCTTGATGAAGCGCCCTGTTCTGAGAACAGATCCACACTGCCCAGTCTCTTTGGTCGCCTAGTGTCCGCCGTGGCCCGCGCCAGTACACCGTCTTAGACGCAACCGGCGTCTCGCCCGGTGTCGTGTCCAGCCTCCAACGAGGACCTGCACGGAAGCCGATGTGGGATCGGGAAGTGAACACACAGCATGGCCCAGTCTATCGATGATGTGATGTTCCGCCAACAGAACAGGAAAAACCTGGTCCCCCCAAAAGAAAAACCCGATCATGACCATGTTAGGAATCAAACCCGTGTGCGTCTGGTGACAACTCCAATGCTTGTTGCCTGGTTTCAGTACCTCACCACTGGAGTCGAAGATTTTTTCAGAGAGAGGCCGTGTTGGGCGTTTTTTAGAGTGGAAGAGCAGCTGCCAATTGATGGAAGAAATCCAAACAAGACCTCGACCCCCCCAATACACCAGAGGCTTAGCGCCTGTCTGTACCTTGATGTTTAACCATATACTTCTACCCATCTCTGAGTGGTGCGAGGGCTCTTCCTCTGCTGGCTACAGCATTGTCACTGAGGACGGTATTTGCCTTCAATCAGGGCCCGTGCACTTTGTCAATCATATGTAGCAGAACTGTATGTTATTTTGCAGGCAATACAGACTTCCTCCACTCGCATTTGTATTTCAACGGATTGTCGAACTATTGTGCAACAGTTTTCTTGGATGTCTGAACATTTACAAGTTCCACCGAAGTGGTCCCATCAATTCTGGTGGAAGCAGATCTTGCATCTTGTTTGTAACTAGAGGAGAACAGGTTCTGTGCCTGTTCAGCTTCGCTGGATCCCATCACACAGGGGAAAACCACCTCTCAGATGATCAGATCACGGAAGAGTATGCGGCCAGCCGCAGGACTAGACAAGATATTCTTCTAAATCGACTTGCAGACTTGTTTGCAATCGACTTGCAGCTGAACATGGTGCGCCGAACGAGCCGAACTTGTTTCCTTCAGGTTCAAGTTGCTGTCTGAAACAGAGGCAGCTTTTTCTTGCTCGTATGAACAGGTGTATTGGGGATATTCCTGACCTTCCGCCTCATATTGAACCAGAACTCGAACAGGAAGATCGCTGGACACACTTGACAAAAACGGTGTCCACGATGGAACTGCAATCAGACTGCTTCAGATTTCACATGGACATCCTCTGCTCGTCTTCTCCAACCACAAGGGTAGTTGGCAAATATGGACCCCCGTGATCTTTCCACCTTTTTTGACTTTACATCTTCGTTGTGGTGCGTGCGTGAGGAGGCCTGTACAGCGTACATTGAGTGTTCTTTCCCACTCTGGAAAAGAGGCTACGTGTTACATTCGTGTGCCTCCGCAAGCTCCACTTTCCGTGACCTCAACTTTTGCTTGGGGCGTGTACTTGTCTGCATCAATAAGATCCTCCAACCAGATCAGTACAGATCAGTACAACAGATCAGTGGAATGTGTCCTGGTTCCAACCAGATACTGATCTCGGCTGACAGCAAGTCACTGCTCCACGTGCTCCAGGGTTCGATTCTCGGTGCCTTCCGGTGAAGAACCACAGATGCATTGGCCTTCGCAGCACTTTCTACATGGGAGGCTGTTTCAAACACCTTTCTACATGGGAGTTTTTCCACTTTGAGTTACAACTTTCGCGAAAATAGACGATGCAAGAGCTGCTGTTGTGACCAGTGTGTCCACAGTGACATTCTGAACCGCCCAAAGGGGCTGCGTGCGGATTCAGAATCCGGGTGATAGAATGGTCGCTCGATTCCAGTGGATGATGCTTCATAGGGAAGACTCGATGCAAAACAAACAGCACACAAACACGAGGCGTCCAACAACCATTGATTCAATAGTCTTTACCGAACAACCTTTGTTTTACTAAGGGTTTTACACTAAAGAATCAGGTCAAGAAGTTTAAAAGAGTCTTGGACCCTTGGAAGGCTAGGGCTAAGGTTCACCCTTGCTACTACAATGAACAGTATAGAGTATAGGCGAAGTGCACGTGTACATTGCCCATAGCGCTAAAATTAGATATGTAGTTGCCAGCTATCTGGGGATCAACATGTACGAATGGTCACCAACAGATTTAGTATTCTAGATTCTAGTTAAGGCCGCCCCATTCAGTAAGTGATTCTAAGTCTCACTTGATAGGCATGAAGCCTGTGGAAAGGCCGTTTGGCTCCTCAGCGGAGCAGGTCGACCCCACCCAGAGATACAGAGGCCAACTGCTTGACCCCCGGTGCTGGCCCCCTGGTGACCTCCCTCTTCACCCGCCTCGTGACCTCTGCACACAGCGACATGACCTTGGCCGCTGTGTTGGAGTCCTGCCGTGCTCAACGGGCCATGCCGCGAAGCGCGAAAGACGACGGTGGCGAAACCGAAGAAGGATGAAGAAGGTCACATCCGGTGTCATGGCTCAGCTGGCCCTTAGCTGGGAATCAAGCGCAGGAGGATGACAGTTAGGAACACTCATTATGGTTATAAAATGCATTGACTCCGTGTTTCTGGGGCTAAGTTTAACCAAAATGTACTTTGACTTTCTGCAAATCACGTCCAAACATCATGTTTCTGGATCTGACAGCTCAAACCAGACTTGTTTTTGCTTGACCAATTAATCACTTCGTTTGGACTCTCTGCAATAGCCATCGTGCGGCGCAACTCAACAACAGTTGACCAATGACACTCAAACCACCTTTAGGTTGTATTTTGTCAGAAATGTTGACATGATCAATAAACAAGAGAGCATGATGCAAATATCTGAAGATGTCGGAAATGTGTTGTGAGATTTGATGAACAATCTCATCGGAAGAACATCGCTAATTCCCAGTCAAACGCATCCTTGGGACTTCATGTCCAATTCGGAGCTGAACTGCTCGGACATCCCGTTTCTTCCTCGGACCGGAGAAGTCTTTTCCATCTTCAACCCGCCAAATCCCACACGTTGTTGGCCGTCGCGACGACGGACACCATCCCGAAACAGACTCGACGTGGGAGTCCACCACGTGACGTGCCTCCAAGCGCAAGGTGGTGACCAAACTTTGTAGCCCCTGAGTCTCGGGAGCTCGAGTCTCGGGAGCTCGATCCGGTCGCGCGAGGTCCCGGACCGGGGACCAACTCGACGACCGAAGGGACGGGGTGGGCAGGACCGACTGGGGTGGGTGGCCCGAGGGGGTGGCCTCAGCATCTGATGCTGTTTTTTTTCCCCAAACAGTGATGCGTCTAGACTTTCTCTTTATAGACCCCTCACACTGTTTGGGGTCTCTTGAGTCTTGCCGGGATAATTGAGCTGCTTCTGGAAGTGCTGTTTCTCACACCTTCTTCGCGCAGTGGGCGGACGTCTGGTCACGTGCGCGCGCTCAAAGGTGGCCCAAAAAACAGGCCAAACTTAGGCCGAAGTCTGGACCCTCCGTTCCGGAACCAGGGCCCTCAATTCCCAATGTTTTTTGACCTGTCGAGCTGTGAACGGAGCGTTTGGGTAGGAAAAGACTCGGTGAACCGAAACCAACTCCACCTGTTCTTTGTTGAGTATAGGGTGTTCCCCCGCCAAAAAAAAGGTGACCTGAAGAGGTGAGGTCCACTTAGAATACCACCTCCACTTCGCTTCACACCTCCAGGAGGTTTCCTCAGAAGGTACAGTATGACTGGACCCGAACATGGCACCCACCCCAGTCCCACCTTCTCAGAAGGTACAACTGGAGGCCTAGGGTTCCAAAAACCGCCACCTTCTCCCGCGTCTGGGGTGTTTCCGAGCTGTTTCAGCGCCCCACACCTCCTGCGACGAGGACAACACGCGGCAGCTGGCCTTGAGGGATGGCCCGGGCGAAGACCGATGACCGATCCGTTGATCGCTGGAGGCCGGTGGAGGTGGAGCTCTGTGAGTTCCAGTGAGTTCCTGTTCTCCACCTGACGCTTCTGGTGACCAGCGGCCTCCAAACCTCATAGCGATGGCCTCCACCGAAAAAAGTCGCTTCTTAAGTTTCTTGTTCTTGTAAAATGGGTGGAAGAACCATAAAGAGAAATATATTTTTCTACCTCCGCATCCTCTAGGGTCTCCTTCTCCGCCCCGAACAGCTCGAACCATTGCTGGCCGGTCGAGTCGGGTGCGGCCGACTGACCCAGGGTGCCGACGGCCGTCGACGTGAAGGAACGACCGATGCCGAACTGCTTGAGGAAGCGCTGCTGGAGAATCGGGTGATTGAGGAAGCGTCCCAAAAAGTGGCCTTAAGGAAAGCAATACCCATCGATCACTAAGTATAGCTATAGATCCCATGTGACCGCCCTCTTTTGATAAGAATGGATCATATTTGGGGTGGTTGGTGGTCCAAAATAGAGCTCACTCAGTTTCTAGGCCCAAACAACAACGAAGCCTCTCATGGTTACAGTATACGATGCCATGGGATGGGTTCTGCGCACAGAAACCCTCCAGTCCACCCAATCCACTACAGTGAAAAACCGAGACAGCGCTAAAACGGCGACGTCAAGAAGCCCAAAGCTGTTCCACTGCATCCTGGCGGACGCGGCGGGCAAGCCGAGTTCAGAGGGCTGACTGTCGTTCTGGTGGTGATGTCTGTCTCAGCCGCAGCCTGGATGGTCGTAGCGTCTCATCCGACCGTGTCTCTCAAAACCACGTATTTTGGGGGAAACATGTCCAGCCCACCGATTGTTTTCAACACGACACACCTTTCTCAGATGGTTTACAACTGGCCATCGTATTGGTCAGGCCGACTCATGCAGGATGATCATCGTGTCACGATCGAAGCAATTCTGTGGTACAATCGATCTTGCCATGTCTGAAAAACAAATGTGTTGGTCCATGGGTTTCCCTTTTTTGTTCTATTCTTGCCATGTTTGAACAAGAAACCCAGGCGATGTGCTACCGCTCCACAAGTCAGGCGGTCAGACGAGAGACCTCTTTTATCTTGGAATCTTGGATCATGAATCATCCATGAAATAGGGAGTCGACCATCAGTCTTTCATCTGCTTTCCTTCTGTCCCCAATCCTGAACTTATATGGCTGTGGGTCATGGTAGCCTGGCATCCTGGTTTGACCCCAGGTCACATGAACAGATTCCTCATCTCTTTGGGATGTCAACCTTGGTTTGGTGGAAGAGCTTGAGTTCCTCACAGCTAGTCTTGGAGACGAACACCATCCAACTTCCCTGCACATGATAGTCGGATGGTCCGCAACAGATGTCGATCTCCACAGTCGGACCATGGTCGCTCATTGCCCAATGCTCATTGTCACCAAGGAAAAAAACAGCTGGGACCGGTGGACAGGAGAAAAGACCATAGGCATCTACAGTTGATGGGGGATTGTGCCGTCTACTCTGACAAAAGTCAGTGTTGTTTCAGGTTGCTTTGGGTTGCAGGGTGTCTAGAATGTCTGCCTCCACAAGTAGTAGTTTGCACCTGGTTCATGTGACGTACTGCCAACAAATCTCCGACCCTCCGGGTTGATGCCCTTTGGGTCTGCCCAATTTGGGTCCACCGAAGCTCTTTTGAGTGGACATTTGTTGGGTCCAACCAAGCTCTTGTCTGTTTCCACATGGCTCCGTAAGACTCCAAGAAAGGCTCAGAAGTATTTGTTTGTCATGCAAAGCTTATGCCAATTCCTGCACCAGTCAACGCTTCTGAGGCCAAGGATGGCCAAGGTCTCTTTTTTGAAGCCGAAGAAACAAAGGTCCAAGGCCCAAGGCAGTGGTTTTGGACCCTAGGGAAAGGAACAGCTGACCTTTCGACCACCCCACATGACTCTCAGCACTGTCCTGTAGCTCCATCTAGAAAACACCTGCAGCGTCGGAGAAGTTGCTTTCATGACTCCCAGTGGTTTTTCAGAATTCCCTGCTGGAAATCGTATAGTGGTTCCCAAATAGATAGTGGCACGGTTTTTCCAACACATTTGAGTGGGAATCTACTTTTCTATCTATGACAGGGGGTCTACAACATTCTCACGGGCCCCTGAGAAGCGGAACAAATGTTCAAACTTCATGACCAGTTGCTCGGCCTCGGGATCAGCTTCGGTACGACTGGACCCTCCAGTACGCTACCAGTACTGGACCCTCCTTCCTCGCCTTCGTTCGGCACGACCCTTCTGAAGTAGTAGTACTGGATCCCTAAGATGGATAGTGAAAGAAAACCAACAAGCATCAAGCCGAGCCTTCAGGATCTTGCATCACAGTCCTACTGGATACATTCAATAGGTGTTAATGTCTGTATAACCCGCCCATCACCAGAGTGGAAGATGACGGTCGTCCTTGTCAAACAATCTGATCTTTGACTGACTATTGACAAACTATGACAACCCCAATAATGTAGACTCCGCTTGATTCATTCTACAAAAAAACTGATACGCCGATCCCCCCCAAAAGGGATGAGTTCAATCCATGTCCGGGAGAGGCTTTTATTCAGTCGAGGAATGACCTTCATGAGACGTAAACCATGACGTGAGATGCTTTCACCCCACGTGATTCTTGCAACGACGCCCAGTGGGAAGGGAACCGCTGGAACCGCTGGGACTCGAAAGCGAGCGAAAGAACTGGTTTGGTAGGCTCTGGAGTAGGATTAATACCCCCCCAAACCAAACATGGCCGGATTGTAGGACCAAGAGTCCAGCCATGACAGAAACTGCGTATAGTGACGAGTCCTATTGGTCTGAGACCTTTCTTCGCTTCCACCGATTGACATGACATCGCCTGTGAACATATACCATCCAGCAGTCACGTTCGACGGGGTGCGATCTATGGAGGTAGGAGTTGGGTGCTATTATCCACATCCACAGCCCCTGGATGGGAGGAGCCACACCACCCCGTCGAACGTGACTCCCGGATGTTTCACCAAACGTCAGGTACCACTCGGACTCACCAAACGTCAAGTGCTGGAGTGCGACCGGGCCCGGGGTGGCGGGTTGTTTTTGCGGCCGGCCACGCGTCTTCCGAAATCGGGAAAAACATAACCCAGACGCGACCCTGGGCCCTCATATGGAGGGGTCTGGGGCCTCAATTCCCCAGGTTTTGAGGGACCAAGGGTTGTTTGGAGCGTCTGGGAAGGAACAAGAAGCTACTATTAGCGATAGTTGTGATCATCTGACTGCCTGGACCTTCCAGCAAAACGTCTGCCGTCGGGCATCATTCAAAGATCGATCTAGGTGGACATGCGGACATACGGGTTGGGGGTGCCTGAACTGGGAGTTTATGAAATGTACATACCTTAGGGCTCCAAGTACATCCACAGAAGGTATTTGGACCCTCAAAACCCACCCCAAATACATTCTCAGAAGGTACTTGGAGCCTTCGGGGTATATGATCCAGGTATAAGTTCACCTTCTCCACCCACCAAGTCATTCCATCGGAGTTCGAACTCAGGCGGCTTCCCCTCACTCGACTTCTTGACAGTCCGACGGCCCTTTTCCCCCAATTAACATGCCATTCCCTTCGGTTGGAGCCTGAAGATTCAAATGGCACCGATGGATTCAGTGCTGTTCTTTGGTTTGCATGGTTTCTCTGGTTCTTTGCGCGCTGAGTTCTCCAAAACCTTCGCAGTTCTTCAGGCTCGAGGGATTCACTGAGCAAACAGACCGGCAAAAATACAACGCAAGTGATCTGACAACCTGAACAAAGAGGTCTGAGGCAACAGAAATGCGGGTTTTGAGCAACACAACTGGATATCATGGAAACGTTCATTTGCACCTGTGCAGTGAGTGATGACATGTTGGTACATTTCTTGTAAAATCAAACAGCAACAACACCTTTGCAGGCAATGTTCCAGATATTTTTCTCCAAACACTGCTTTCATTGACCAAATTCCGTGGTGCATGTGTAGCCCAAATGCTGCGGGTGAGAGTCTTGCGACAGAGTTTGAACATGGAAAATAAAACATGTCACATGTTCAAATTTGTCCTGGTCACTGACCAAACAAGGTGCTTCCACAAAACGAAACATCAATGCTGATTCAAAATTAGCTCTTTGATCTTAATCCTTCAACCTATATAATTACAACAAACAACGATATTCCTACAACCCACAGATTTCCCAAACCCCAGACTCCGCAGACACCCAGATTGACTGGAATCCTGACACTTTGTCAAGCGCCATTGATTGAAGAAACCTCCTTATTGTCGACACACCACGTCGGCGCGTAAACTTCTGGTACCCGAAGCAAAAAAAAAACGTCACGGTTCACGGAAGGACGGATTCTAGACAATCTGACTTCAGCATGTCCCGTCCCTCGAAAGAACCTGAAGCCACGTGGAAATGAGAAAGTTACCGATGTTGCAGCCAGCGCAGGGCTGGACAGACGGGGTTTTTCGGTGCCCAACGTTTCCCGCAGTCATGGTTGAACAAGTCGGTTGAGCGCAACCTATGATCTACAAGGAGGGACCTGAACTCGACTGCGTTGAGCTGGTGTGAAGTGAAACCAGGCATGCTGCTACAGCTAGTTATGTCAGTATGCACATTGCCGCAATGAGAGGCAACCTCCGCTACTCAGCAAGCTCAACCCACGAGGTTCTGACAGCCCTGCCAGTGACACCAAACCTGCCTGTGCCTTGCTAGCTGCTGCTGGATCGCCTGGACACACGCCAATCGTGAGCAGCGCCGCGCGCTGCAACAGGGAGGGCTCCCAAAGAACACACGCAGCCCGCTGATCGGAGTTGGCCCATTCCAACACACCCACCCCTCTCCACCGAGCAACACTGAGCATAAGTCACCGCCGGGCGAGCCCTGTTCGTCTAGTAACGTGGCTTCTTACAGCAGCCAAGTGATGCCAAGAGGGGAGGGAACTCAATCCCCACACCTGGACACCGAAACTCAGTGCAGTGCTTCGGGGTGCATTTCATCTCAGAACATCCGAAAAATTCGGCAATCACGCACAAACAAAGGGTCGCATAGAACAGAGCGTGTTTCCGTTGCCTTTCTCGAAAAAGTAATAATTCCAAGAAATCAGGCCATAGACCATTGAATATTTAACCAGCATCTTTCTGAAACATTTTTTGTAGAACCAAACAGCAACAACACCTTTGCAGGCAATGTTCCAGATATTTTTCTCCAAACACTGCTTTCATTGACCAAATTCCGTGGTGCATGTGTAGCCCAAATGCTGCAGGTGAGAGTCTTGCGACAGAGCTTCAACATGGAAAATAAAACATGTCACATGTTCAAATTTGTTCTGGTCACTGACCAAACAAGGTTTCCAAAAAACGAAACATCAATGCTGATTCAAAATTAGCTCTTTGATCTTAATCCTTCAACCTAATTACAACAAACAACGATATTCCTACAACCCACAGATTTCCCAAACCCCAGACTCCGCAGACACCCAGATTGACTGGAACCGTCCCTCGAAAGAACCTGAAGCCACGTGGAAATGAGAAAGTTGCCGATGTTGCAGCCAGCGCAGGGCTGGACAGACGGGGTTTTTCGGTGCCCAACGTTTCCCGCAGTCATGGTTGAACAAGTCGGTTGGGCGCAACCTATGAATCTACAAGGAGGGACCTGAACTCGACTGCGTTGAGCTGGTGTGAAGTGAAGCCAGGCATCCTGCTACAGCTAGTTATGTCAGTATGCACATTGCCCCAATGAGAGGCACCCTCCGCTACTCAGCACGCTCAACCCACGAGGTTCTGACAGCCCCGCCTGTAAACCTGCCTGTGCCTGATCGGAGTTGGCCCATTCCAACACACCCACCCCTCTCCACCGAGCAACACTGAGCATAAGTCACCGCCGGGCGAGCCCTGTTCGTGTAGTAACGTGGCTTCTTACAGCAGCCAAGTGATGCCAAGGGGGGAGGGAGCTCAATCCCCACACCTGGACACCGAAACGCAGCGCAGTGCTTCGGGGTGCATTTCATCTTAGAACATCCGAAAAATGCGGCAATCACGCACAAACAAAGGGCGGCGTAGAATAAAGCTCCCTGCCCTTTTGGCAGTTGTCGTTCTTGAGAACGGTTTCCAAGAAATCAGGCCATAGACCAGTGAATATTTAACCAGCATCTTTCAAGAAAGGAGATATGCGAAACGCTTGGACGAGGAACATCTGTATGAAGCAGCAGGTGTTGCTTGAAAACGACACATGTTAAAGAAGAACACATGTCATATATCTTTTGGGCCATTTGGGTATGGACCCTTGCCCCAATGTCCTTCTTCTTCCAGGCACTTCAGGTCGTTGCTGGGGGGGGTTCAGGCCGTTGGTTCGTCCGTGTCTTCAGGCCGTTGGGCCTGACATCATCAAAGGGGGGAGTTTGTGATCATCGCAGCATGACTCTGGGGCACTTCGTGTACAAGAAACACAGTGTATCATCATGTTGTTGCTGTTGGCGTTGCTTAAACATGTGATGAGCAGCGCACCATTTGTTTTGCGCCATGAACCACCCGATCAATCCTTCAAGTATATAACACAAACAACAATTGTTGTACTCCGTTTGACTTCAACACGCTCAGAGTCTCTTTTGTTGTAATACAAGACTAATGAAAGGGTTTCAGGATGCTTCAGGGAAATATGCAACAAGATGTTGCTTGGCTAGCTGAAACCGACGACGCGTGACCTCCACGGCGCCACGCGAGCTTTGATCGCGGCCCAGCGGCCCAGCTGTCCGTCTCTCCCAGACTCCAAGGGTCATGCCAAGGCATACAAAACCCAGACATTCCATGGGACTGGCATATTTACATACATTGACCCCTAAAACCACCCCAATGTAGGTAAATATATGCCAGTCCCATGGAGTGTTTGGAAAAGGCATTGTTCATGTTTTTTGGTGGGATGATAAACGGCACGAGGCATCAAGACATCAGGTTCTGTTTTTATGTATCACCATGTACCACCTGAAGAATCCTTGATAGGAGGGAAGAATGACCAGTTCTGCGTGTGGCGGTATCTCGTTCTTAAGCCTGGTGACTTCACCCTAGGGCTCCTGGCCTTTAAACCTAGTGGTTAGACCCCCGCAGGCAGCCACCCCAACCACCGAACCGAAACGGAGGCAGGCCGTTGGAGCCCGTTTCGGGTCAACGGCAAAATACTTCACGAGGGTCAAACCAAGCACTCACATCACCCACCAAGTAGACTGTCGATCAAGAAAACCTTGTTTGGATCCAGAGTCTTTGACAACGGTTGACATATCATCCACAGTCATTCGAGCTGCCCAGACACTCTAAACAGCCCTTGGGTGTCCCTCAAAACCATAGGGTTTTGAGGGTCCAGACCCCTCCATATGATGGTCCGACCCCTGCAGAGGTTCGGGTCCCGGGTCGCATCTGGGTGCTTCTTAGTTCCCAGTGCATACGACCATAGGATCATCCGACGGTGAAAGGATTCCGAAAGGCATGCGATCCCCAGAGTTTCCTGCCCCGCCGAGGCCCCCCGTTCCTACAGAGGTTAAGTGACCTTATAGGACCCTACAGCAAAGTACCTATAGAGTCTATAGGGTTCTTCAACCTCTGCTGGTTCGCGTCACACCAGGTGCATCGAACGCCGCAAAACCGCCGCAACCCGCCACTCCACAGCACAAGGCTGGACACCGCTCGATGGTGGACACCCATAGGAACCGAGCTTCGACAGGTGGCCGCTGTCTGTTCTTGGCTGAAGAAGAAAATCGACCTTTTTGTCCACCTGGATCATCTGACTTGTGAGAGGTCAATTAGATCAAAAACCCATGACTGTGCGGATGATTCCTGCAAGAGACTTCTTGAATTCGCCCCTTATCCCAGATGACTCTGGGTCTAGTGTCGTGTCTCAAGTGAATCTCGCAAACACGACCTCTCCAATTCTTTTACACTTCCGGGTTTTGGGTTCGCCTCCTTCTCCCCAGGCGCTCATGGCTAGGCTCAGAATGCTGAAGTCGCTTAGCACAAGGCTTAGACACAACATGACACAACTGAGCATCGGCCAATATGATTAAACCTATAGCCTATGTCGTATCAAGTGCTTGATGGAGTGTCAAGGGAGATTTTGGCTGTTGCTCAATTGGATCCATTGATTCATGGCCTTCTTATGCATTTTGCCCTCGCACCTGTGCATGATCGGAGTACCGAGGGTACTTGGCACCCCTTCCGGTCATGCGACTTGGCCTCCTTCTGCGGCGGCTTCGGCTTCTCTTCCGGCTGGGACCTCAGCCGAAGCGGTTTGGACCCGAAAGGAAGTTGAATCAACCAACCAGCCGTATAACCAACCGAAGTAGGAATAGCCTCCAACCTAATTGCGTCCTTGCTAGTAGGAATGGCCTCCTAGTAGCTTCTATGTTACTAGCAAGGAGCTGCTCCGTTCGAGTCGCGATGCCAGGAGCCCCTATAGTAGTGTCCGATCGCTCCGTTCGTAGTAAGGCCAGGTTGTTCCGTTCGTTTCTTCTAGTTCGAAAGCTTCCTCCGACCGTTCCTAGTAGCAAGCTTGTTCGAAGCGATGGCCTCCCTAAATGGCCTGTCCTACAACATGAACATCCACGAATTCGTTGGGTTTATATCGATGGCCGACGTCCCATTACTACCAGTGATGATTCCTGGTAGTGATTTTAAATATCCATCACATCACAAATTCGTTGG